AGAGCATTGAAAATAGCAGCTAAGGGGCAGGAGAGACAGCTCAGAGGTTAAGAGTGCCGGCTGCTCTTCCAGAGGTCTTGAGTTCCATACCCAGCACCCACATGGTGGCTCACAACCATCTGTAATGGGATTTTATCCCCTTTTCTGGGGTGTAGGCACACATGTAGACAAAGCATCCATACTCATAAAATACGTAAATAAATCTTTGTTTTTTGACACAGGGTTTCTCTGTGTAGCATTGGAGTCTATTCTGGAACTTGCTCTGTAGACCAGGCTGGTCTCGAACTCACAGAGATTCACCTGTCTCTGCCTCCTGAGTGCTGGGACCAAAGGTGTACGCCACCACACAGCTAATAAATACATCTTCAAAAATACAGTTAAACCAAATTGGGTGAATTGGGGGTGGTGGCTCATGCCTGTAATCCTAGTCCCAGCACTGGGGGGAATGAGGCCTGAGGCAGGAGAATTACTGTGGATTTAAGTCCAGCCTGAGCCACAAAGTTAAAGTTTGCCTCATTCCCCCAAAATATAAAAAAATTAAATAAACAATATTATTAACAACGATGAAAAATGAGTCAAATTATGTCACTTCCCTATTAGAATCCTTTAGTGGTTTTAAAATCCCAAGTCTTCACATGACCTGGACATTTTTGCTTCTCCTGTTTATTTCCCATAACATCCCCACCCCCCATCTTCCTACAGGATGAGCTGAGCAGGACTAGCAGCCTTGGGGTCCTAGCATTTCCTGGCCCTTCTAGTTGGAACGGTTGCTGGAGATCTTTCCATGTCTGACTCCATTTCAGTGTTGCACTCCAGTTCTGATATCACTCCCCAAAGAGGCCCATGTCCGCCTTGACCTTTCAAGCTAAGCTACCCGCCTCTGGTTTCTATGTTTCCCTTGTAGTTCTCATCACACTCTGAAGTATCTAGTTTGCTGATTTGTGGGGAGGTAACTCCTCCTCTGCACCTGAGTGAAGATGCTATGTATCAGTCTTCTGCAGCTGCATGCTTAGAGCCCAGGAGTGACCACAGGGTCTGGCATGGGGCACTTAGTAAGGAACCGAAAGAATGGATACTGAGTGGGGATATGGGGATCTAAGAGTCACTATAAAATTCTGCTGTGGATCCCAGTTGGTGGCTTTTGTTGGCTGAGGAACAGGATCCTGGTTGGCCAAGAGCTGAGGTGTCAGCCTGGAGGCCTCCATGATGTAAAAACAGCTAAATGATGGGGTTAAGAAGGGTGCATAGGGCTGAAGGCTGTGTAGGTCTGGAGTGGCTATGGAGTCATCCTACCTCTTCTCATTTCCATAGGATTTCTGAGCCACCTTGGCATGCAGGATCCACAGGGTCTGCTCACTTCTTTGCTGTAGGCATGTACGCACACCTTCCCTCAGGATGGCAGCGTGCTCTGGGGTTGACCTACGAATGGGGACGGGCCAACCAGCCACAGGAAGGAGAGGGACAAGGCTTAAGTAGGTACTGGGGTTGATTAGCGTTCCTGGAGTGGCCTGGGGAAGAAACGTTAGGCAAAGGGGAGGACTCGGGCCATGGGCTGAATATTTGTGCTTCATGAGGCCTGTACAGAGCTCACCGGGGTCACCCAGGTGCTGCACTCTGTGGGTGGCTTTCCGTAGCCTGAGGCCGTAGCGAAAGCGCTGCAATTAAAAGCCCTCCACTTGGTCTTCAGATGGAGGTGGGCTTCACCCCAGGAGGATACATAAGGGGAAACAGTTCTAGGTCCATGGCACAATGGCAGTTCCAGCAGGCAGACGGATGCAGATGTGAACGAGGCCCCAAGCCGCATTAGCAGAATTAGCAGAATCTTTCTGATGCCCAAACATCAACCCTGGCTTTCTGCTATAGGGGTTTTCCTTTCTTCCAAACACAGGGAATCAAGACATTGATTTGCTTTGTAGGGTGAGCTAGGTCAGCTCTCTGGGGCCTGTTGCTTGTCAGTCTGAGAGTTTAGCAGGTGAGGATGGGTTTTCATAAGGCTTACACAATTAAACGGAGCCTGTACATGAGTCCATGGTGGGAGATATTTGGGAAATTAGCAGGTTGGGCTGTGAAGAGAGCTAAGAATGCCGAGGCTGTCCTTTTGAGCCATTTTACCCTCCTAGCAGGACCAAATCCCGGTCTTTCATCACTCCTGGAAGGGACGGAGGAGGGCAAGAACCGGGCGCGTCCTCGGAAGCACAGCCAGGCCAGGCAGGCGGCGGCCAGGACCGCTCCGCCTCTTGGGGCTCTCCTCTGGGAAGTGTCTCGTGTAGGATTCCAGAGCATTCCGGCTGAGTGTCGCCGCCCGACTCCAGCTGTAGCCGAATTCCGGCCGGCCCGCAGCTCGCGCCTGCAGCTCCCAGAGTGGCAGGAGAAGGGGGTGCAGCCCTTGCCCGGCCCCGGTGCTCAGAGGAAGGGGGAGATCGCTCCCTGCCAGTGGGAGGGGTCGCAGCCCGCGCTCCCCCTCCCCACCCGCCCGCCCTAGGTTAAATGCAGCTGCCGCCTCGCCTCCCTCTAACTGTCTGGCAGTTCCTACCTAGGGCAAGCTGCCCACGCCGCCGTTACCTGGTCCAACTCCCCAGGAGGCTTGGCCCGTCGCTCTGTAGCCTCACCTCTGAGCTGTCCCGCAGGTTCAGGTGAGTCAAAGGGCCCGGGGGCACCGAGGGGTCTGGAACGAAGAAGTAGGGGACAGTACTTAGCCGCCTACGTGCTCACATTTAGCTGGAGTACCTTTTTTTTTTTGGATGCCCCTCCAGCAAGGCCGACTAATCACCGGCCCTCCTTCTCTAATCTCCTCCCTCTAGGTTCTGGCACCTTCCCAAAGTGTCCATTCCTGGTCAGCTCTTGACCTCATAGACCTCCCCTTCCTTGGGAATGCACTTTCTCTACCCTAAGGGCATCTGAGAAACTTCCTCTAAATGCAAGGATGGAGTCTTTAGATCTAGGAGAAGGGGTGGGGTGGGGGTCCAGTGTCAATTTAGCTGACTGCCTTTGCCTTCCCTGGACCGACTTTCCTCTGGGGAATGGCAGGTTTGGAAAGTTGAAGTTGAGAGACAGAAGCTATTTTGACTTTCTCAGATCCCTGGGGTGCAGGTGAGGTGATACCAAGGGCGGTGTTGGCTTAGGCCAAAAGCAGGATAAGAGAGACAGTAGCCAAGAGCCAACAGCAGTCTCAAAGGCCCCCGTGGACATTTACTCAGATGGTATAACTGCCTTGGCTATGGCCCATTCTCGAAAAGGCATCCCCTACCTTCTATCTCTACCAGCAAGCAACTGGCACATCTTGCTAGCTTGCTACCACGACAGGCCCTACTAGAGGGATTTTTGTTCTTCTACTCTGCCTGGAAAGTCAGAAGGGAGAAGAATCCCGATGGGAAGGCAGTGTGGACACACATACACGCACACACACACACTCTCTCTCTCACACACACACCGGCCTTGCCCAGAATGGGCCCATTCAAGGAAAAGGGGGGCGGGGCAGCGGTGGGTTAGGGGACGCTGGCCTGCTCTGCCAAGAAACAGCGACTGAAAAATGGATAGAGCAGGCTCAGCGTGCCGTGTGGGGGTGGAGTAAGGAACAGAAGAACGGCTTAGTGACTCCTAGGTGCCAGAGAACCAGGCGGCTCTGGAGGAAGAGAGGGGGCCTAGGTTTAGTTCTGTGCCTGGAGCCCAGCTGACAGCCTTATTGCGCCCCAAAATTTCCATTCGTGCGGTATATATGTGTGTGTGTGTGTGTGTGTGTGTGTGTGTGTGTGTCCGTGTCTGCGACCTTCGTTGTTCTCAGGGGTCCTCGCTAGACTATGCAGGAAAGTGAAGGCTCACCTGTTGTTCCCACAGGGTCCATGGGCGCTCATCGAGGCCCCAGCCTTGCAGCTCTCTGGGCACGTCTAGTGTCTCTGTCTTCGGTACCCTCCACACCTCTGCCCCTCTACCCTCGTACCAGATATATTTTGTCCAAGTGTTATCTTCAAGGTCCCTGGGCTCCCCAACCTCCTGTTTGCTCTGGGCAGGGACACCTGCTGGGCAGATGTGGGCTTCCCACGACCATAGAAGCCAGACCCTGCAGACGCCCCCTGGCGGCCTCTCTTAAGAGCAGGCGGGTAACAAAGACGTCGAGGTGGCTCTTGTTCACAGCCCACTAAGACCCTAGAACCCCAAAGGGCTCTCTTATCCGGAGTGGGGGAGCTGTTGGAGGGATGGCTTCTTTCTGCAGAACAAGAGAATATGGAGCACGTTGGCTGACTGACAGGCGAGACAGACAGGAGTCTATCATGGTGTAACCACTTTCCTGCTACATGAGGTTGGTTAGCAGCATTTCATTTCTTTGATCCTCTGTTTCTGAATAGGTACAACTAAGCCAACAGCAGCCTTAAGTGCCGGACCTGGGTAGAGAGTTAATGCCACATCGGATGCACGTATTTAACGCTGTACCTGGTATTTAGAAAAGGCTTCCTTGGGGACTAGCATGATGGCCCAGTGGGTAAAGGTGTTTGCTGCCAAAACTGAGCACTGGAGTTCAGTATTATCTAAGCCTGGGATCTACACAATGGAGGGAGAGCTGACTTCAGCGAACTGCCCATTGATCTCCACACGTGTGTGTTGTCGTGTGTGCAGGCACACACAATAAAAAACACACATAAAACATCTTTTTAGAAGGGAGTTTATCCCCTTTTGAGGTTTATATGTTTTTATCTACTCTGTTTACTTGGTGTCTCATAGTTTTACAAAATGTCGTTTTCTTCTGTGAATTTCAGCAATCCCAGGGTGGTGACATTAGAAAAAAATTACCATAAGACTCTTGTTTTGAGACAGGCTCTCACCAGGTAGCCCTGGCTGGCCTGGAACTGACTATGTCAACCAGACTGGCCTCGAACCCACAGAGACCTGCCTGCTTTCTGCCTCCTGAGTGTGCAACCATGTCTGGCATGGCATTTTGAACACACCCTGAAAGTAAGAGAAAGGTGAAAACTGTTGCTTTATTACCTTCAGGCTGCACCGCCTTGGTGATTCTTCCTACAAGCATCATCATGAGAGGCTGTCTTTTCTGGCCACTGCCCCTGTTGCTGTTCTTCGTCCAGCCCTGGGAAATCCAGCTCCAGTCTGCAGGTGAGCTGAGGCCCAGTCCTCAGCATGGGGGGGGGGGGCAGAAACAGCTCTTTCATCTACCTCCAGCCAGCATCGCTGGAGAAAGAAAAGCAAGGACTTTCAAACACTATGGGCTGGGTTTGGGCTCCCCGCTTCACCTCTTGTGTGGTTTCCTCGCCTGCAGTATGTGGCACCATTTTAGATTCATGCAGAACGGGTTACTTGGTGTTGAATTTTATTGAAGCATATTGAAAATATGGAAAAACTCAGGAGATTCCACATTAAAAACTCCTATTTGAGAATTTTCTTTAAAAAACAAAACAAAACACCAAAACCAAAACCAAACCAAACCAAAACAAAAACCCGAAAAACAAAAAACCTGAAAGGACCTGTTAAACATCCATCCTGTTTGGGTATACGGCAATATGTTGCTAGGACAACTCACGTTAACAGAGATACCGCGGCTTGTGGTGTCATAGGCATAATCAAATCAGTTTATTCCTTTACAATATCTGGCCAATTCACATAGGCATTGGAGATTGGGACATCTCTTTGCCCATATATACATTACAGCTTCCAGAGATGTATGCAGGAAACTTGTGCGATTTCCTGGATTAGGTTCCCGTCCCCCCTCCCCCCCAAAGGATGTATGAGTGACTGTATCCAGGGAGTGTTTGTTAGGCTAATATGCTGGGCGCTGTTTTCATTGGATAACAGCATTTCTCCTGGCTTTTCCTGAGAGATCAGCTTTAGTCCTTTCCCTTCTCCTCGCAGGTCCTAGGTGCTATACTGGGCCCCTGGATTTGGTGTTCGTGATTGATAGCTCCCGCAGCGTGCGCCCCTTCGAGTTCGAGACCATGCGACAGTTTCTGGTGGGCCTCCTCCGTAGCCTGGATGTGGGGCTGAACGCCACTCGAGTTGGCGTGATCCAGTATTCTAGCCAAGTGCAGAGCGTGTTTCCCCTGCGCGCCTTCTCTCGTCGCGAGGACATGGAGCATGCCATCCGCGCCGTAGTGCCTCTGGCGCAGGGCACCATGACCGGGCTGGCGATCCAGTATGCCATGAACGTCGCCTTCAGTGAAGCCGAAGGCGCGCGCCCACCGGAGGAGCGAGTGCCACGGGTCTTGGTCATCGTGACCGACGGGAGACCTCAAGACCGAGTGGCCGAAGTGGCCGCTCAGGCGCGCGCCCGCGGCATTGAGATCTACGCTGTGGGGGTGCAGCGAGCCGACGTGGGCTCTCTACGAGCTATGGCTTCGCCTCCGCTGGATCAGCATGTCTTCTTGGTGGAGTCTTTCGATCTCATCCAGGAGTTTGGTCTGCAGTTCCAGGGCCGGCTGTGTGGTGAGTGGCTACATTCTAGTTTGCATCATCACAGACAAGCCTTCTCTGTCGGGTGCCCAGGAGAGCTTTACTCCGCCCTCCGGGTATAGTAGCAGTATTCTGCCTGTAGAGTTCAGGCTTGGTCCCTTAACACTCAGCAGCCAGTCCTGCTGGATCAGGGACTTTGCATCGTATGTCACAAGCTAAATGTCAAACTCCAACACCAAATGTCTTTAAAACAAGAATCACCGCTGGGCAGTGGTGGCACCTGCCTTTAATTCCAGCTCTTGGGAGGCAGAGGCAGGCAGACCTCTGAATTTGTGACCAGCCTGGTCAACAGAGTGAGTTCCAGGTCAGCCAAGTCATAAACAAACAGACAGACATTGAGAATATTTTCTATCAGGAGTCATGCTCCGCCCACCCGGTTGTGGTTCCTCCCACTCTAAGTCCCGTGGACCCCCGTCTCCCCCCCCCTGCATTTACAAAAGCTACGAGAACTCTCTTAGCCACTTTTGTGGTGTGGGTGTGTGCAGGAGGACGGCGACAAGATTCCTTGTAACCTAGACTGGTCTTGAAATCGATTTGTAGCTGAGACTGAGCTTGAATTCCTGATCCTCCTGAATCCACCTCCCAAGTGCTGAGATTTCAGGCATGCTCCGCTTCACTGCCTTTGTACTCAAACGTTGAGTTACCCCATCTACTGTGATTTAATGCCATTCCATCTTCCTGCATGGCCCCGCCCTCTGTGTGGTCCTATTTTAGCTCCACCCTCTTCACTCAGGGCAGTGCCCTTTTCTAAGACTATACAAAGGGACTGCTGAAGTCCCATTCTCCTAACCCTCTCAAAGAACCAAATTAATATCCTACTAAGTCCATACTTGGGTATTTGCTTCCGACCCTACATCTACCCTACCACTGAGCCCTCTCCTTTGACTCTTCTGTCCCCCTGTTCTCTGTTGACTCTCTTTGTGTGTCCTCAGGGAAGGACCCGTGTACTGAGCCAGGACATGGCTGCCAACACCAGTGTGTCAATGCTCCAGGAACCTTCTACTGCACCTGCAACTCTGGCTACAAGCTAGCCCCAGATAATAAGAACTGTTTGGGTGAGCACTGCCCCATCCTGTAGACTCATTCTTCCTGAACTTTCTTTGGCTTCCCAGCATCACAGCAATGATTTTGGCGAGTCCTTTGGAAGTAGAAGCACACCTCCTTCGCCTTACAAACATAGAAAGAGGGAGTATTATTGGGCCACACAAGTCTTTGATGGATCAGAGCTAGGAGTCTTGACATCCCCCTCCCCCAGTTAAATGTGGTTTTTGTACCCTTCCTCCCCAGTTTTGGCACAATTTCCCAACTGGCTCCAATCCACCTTCCAGACTTGTTTCTTCTGTTTCCTCCCAGACCCCCTCCTCCATTCTCTATTACTTAGACACCACTGGGAGGGATATCTTCAGCTAGGTGGCCCTCTCCAATCTCTGCTCTGAATGTCCTTCCTTCTTACCTCTGCACCTCAGCTCTCTGTGGTGCCTCTTCTATGTGAATCTTTTCTTTCCTCTAATCTGAAAAGCTATTATGTGTGATGCTTTGCTTAGATGATAGGGGTTTTTCTTTTTGTTGAGTGTGTGTGTGTGTGTATATATATATATATATATATATATGGCTTTAAAAAACACATATGAGTATATGGGTTTTTCTTTTTGGTGAGTATATTCCTGTGACTGTTTTCTACCACTCACAGAGTGCCAATTATATCAGATCTTGTGTTAGGAGCCTTTCATACACTCATAGCAACTAGTTCCATAGTTTTAGCTTCACAATCTGGAATAAGAGGTTACGTGAGCCTAATAACCCAGGTACCACCTGGTTTTCTTGTGTTTAAAAACTTGAAAAAGTTGAGGGTGTTGGAGAGGTAGATGGATGGCTCAGTGGTTAAGAACCCTTGTTACACAATCTTGAAGACTGGAATTTGGATCTCAGCGCTCATGAGCCAGACAGGCATCTGGCAAATGATTGTAACTCCAGCTCCGAGGTGGGCAGAGGTGGAAAGATCCCCAGGGCTTGCTGGTTTGCTGCATAGCAAAGAAAACAGGAGCTGCGGGTCCAGGGAGAGACACTGCCTCATAGGAAGAGGTGGAGAGCTGGGGAGTGACGAGGAAGACATTCAATACCTACTCTAACCCAAGTGCATCTATGGTTGTGCATGCCAGTATTCTCTCTCTCTCTCCCTCCATCCCTCCCTCCGTCCCTCCCTCTCTCTCTCTCTCTCTCTCTCTCTCTCTCACACACACACACACACACACACACACACACACACACACAAACCTAAATAGGTTTGATACGCACCTCTAGTTGATTTCTGTGGATATCCATTTCTCAAGGTATCTGGAAAACACATTCTGGCATCTTCTTCTGTTTCCCCCGCCTTTCCCTTTTCTTTCTTGTTGTGAGTCTTGTGCTGACCTCAAAATCATGGCCACCCTGCGCTAGCCTTCAGAGTACACAGGTACTTGATGTGCTCCACCATGCCTTGCCTTGCGGCACTCTTTTTACTTAGGATCTTTTCTCAAATTTTTAGTTCCAAGTGGCCACCTTGTTACAATCTTTGGTTCACACATGTGTACATATGTGCTTTCATATGTATGTGCACATATGTCCATTTTGTTAAAGGTGGAGGTGGGCAGGTATATGAGTAATGCACAAGTCAAACATACACAGAAAAATATTGCAATTGAGACTAGATGCCCTTGTTCCTGGAAGCCCTCAATTACCCCCCTACAGGGATTTTTCCCATTGCTATCTTTAGCCCACAGGGCTAGGAAACTTCATCCTATCTGTGATGCCTCCCCCCTTCCATTGTGGTCCCTTTCCTAGGAATCCCAAATGGTCACAACTTTCCCCAGTTCAGATCTAGGCTATCTTTGCTTATCCCAACATCAAATTAATCCTTCTAGCAACAGGTCTCCCTCCCACCTCTTCAGAAGGAAGTAGTAACGTGCAATTGCTTTTTCCTACTGCGTTTCCAGTTTGCAGACAGGGAGGAGCTCACACAGGTGAAGATGCTGCTCCTCACACTCTGCTGCGAGCCACTGAGTTTGTGGAGGATGGGATTCTCTTCCACATGCCGGACTCAGCAGTGGGCCCTTTGGCTCTCAGATGTGTTTAAGTTAGAAATGTCATCCGACCCTGTAGAAAGAAGACTACAAATGTCTGGGCAGCACACCAGATTAATTAATTATGACCTTTGGGGTAGGGGCAAGGCATTAGTGTTAGCATTTTTTTTAATTAAAAAATTGATGCATACATGTGTATGCAAATGCCTGTGGAGGTCAGAGGTCAATGTCAAGTATCTTCCTCTACCACTCTCCACCTCATTATTACTGAAAAACTTTTGGTTATTATCAGTGTGTATGATGTGTGAGTGCAGGTGTATGTGTGTCACAGTGTGAATGTAGAGGTCAGAGGGCAACTCTGTGGACTTGATTCTCTTCCTTCACCTTTGAGTGGGTTTTGAACTCAGATCATAAGCTTGTGAGACAAATTTTGTGTTACTCATGAAGCCATTTCATGAAATTTTATTTATTTATTTATTTTTCTTTCTTTCTTTTTTCTTTTTTCTTTTTCTTTCTTTCTTTCTTTCTTTTTTTTTTTTTTTTGAGCCAGGGTTTCTCTGTGTAGCCCTGGCTGTTCTAGAACTCTCTGTAGACCAGGCTGTCTTCGAATTTACAGAGCTCTGCCTGTCTCTGCCTCCCAAGTGTTGGATTAAATGTGTGTGCCAGCACTACCCAGATCTACTTTATATTTTTGAGACAAGTTCTCTCTAAGCTAGGACTCACAAGTTGGCTAGTATGGTTGGCTGGTGGTCTCTGGAGATCTTCCTGTCTCTGCCCATCTCAGGGCTATGGTTCTAGCAACCAATTCCAGCTTTTATACAGATGCTAGGGATCCCATCTCAGATGCAGCAAACACTTTACAGACGGAGCCATCTCCCTGGTTGGTCCCAGCCATCTCCCTGGGTACTCAGCCCAAGGTTTGGTTAAAGAGCTTCTCAGAGGGATGTGTGGCTATGCTGTGAAATACAGCCCCGAGCAACGGTTGACTCCATCTTCTTCCCAGCCATAGACCTCTGTGCTGAAGGAACCCACGGTTGTGAACACCTCTGTGTCAATTCCCTGGACTCTTATTTCTGTCGTTGTCGAGCTGGCTTTGCACTCCAGCAGGACCAGAAGAGCTGCAGGGGTAAGTAAGCCCTGCTTACCCGCCTCTGTGAGTACCCTAGGCTATACCCAGAAGTGATGTCTTGCTATTTCTTCCTCCCTTCAGCCATTGACTACTGCAGTTTTGGAAACCACAGCTGTCAGCAGGAGTGTGTGAGCACCCTAGTGGGGCCCCAGTGTCGCTGCAGAGAGGGTCATGACCTGCTGCCTGATGGGAGGAGCTGTCGGGGTAAGGAGATGTCTCTCATATTCGTAGAGAATAGAAAGGGATTGTAGGTGCTGGGGTCTAACCTGACTAGTCCTACTCGGTGTCTCCTTCAAGTCAGGGACTTCTGCAATGGTGTGGATCATGGCTGCGAGTTCCAGTGTGTGAGTGAAGGTCTTTCCTTCCGCTGCCTGTGCCCTGAGGGGAGGCGACTTCAGGCTGATGGCAAGAGTTGTGACCGTGAGTTATAGGCAGAGGGGCTGCTCCTGCCCAATTGCCTACGATTTGAAACTCCTCAGTGCCCTTGTTATGGCCCCAAAGATGTGGTGTGGACATTCGTCTTCTGGGAAGTGTGCTTGTGCCCAGCTGCTCTTCCAAACAGTCCTCTGCCCTGCCGCCAAGGCTGATTTCAAAATCTGTATCTAATCATATTCCTCCTTCACTCAAAATCCTTTTGTGGCTCACCAGTGTCTACAAAATAAAGATCAAGTGCCTTTCCCTCGAGTTTTTCCAGTGCTGGGCACAACCACATTAATGGATAACGAAACCAAATTAGTGGGTTACAATCAGCTTTTAAGGGAAAGAAGAGAAAATAGTTTCCTGAGTTTAGGAAAGTAAGTATTGCTTCATGAAGCGGAAGTTTAGTTACATGTAAGAATGTGAAATGCACCATGGTATATTATTGTTCTCATTTTTCGTTGTGGGCTGAGGTCAATTTCGAAACTGTCACTTAAGTTCATTACAGTCTAGCTTTAGCCCACTCTTCAGCCCATCTCTTGCCACACCTGAACATTTTAGTCACACTGACCTGACCCTTCCCGACTGTGCCATGAGCTTCCCGGCTCCCATTCCTTTGTATGTGCTTCTGTCAACCTTCTAGAATGTCCCTTCTTGCCTTGGCAAATTCCTAGTCACCATTCAAGACTGTCTTAGTCCACTCAGGTTGCTATGTCACAGAATGGTTGTTGCTGCAATGAAAGTGCTCAGAGCTGGGCGATTGATACAGAATAGAGCTTATCTGTAGCTCTGAGAGCACAGACGCTGCATCTCAGTGCTGGTGTTGGCCACATGACAAGAGCCCTTGAGAGTGAAGAGCCTGTGTGCACAAGGGATCAAATACAGGAGGTGGCCGTCCTTTGTAACTATTCACTGGCAGGGTCATTAATCTAGTCTCTTGAGATCCACTCCATCCTTTGATATTGGCATTAATTTCTTCCAAAGGCGGTGCTCTGTGACCTAATTATCTCCCAGAAGGCCTGAAGGCCTGTTATGGTTTGGGTATAAAGTGCTCCCTCTCAAGGCTCATGTATCAAATGCAAAAACATTCAGAGCCTGGGCTTCTTGGAAGTGATTGGATCACAAGGGTTTTGCCTTTTTAATTGATTAATCCAAGCATAGATTAAATATGGGAGTAGATTTTGGGGCTGTTGGGAGGTGAAACGATAGAAGATGGGAAACTATTCCCAGCTGGGGAAAGTGGGTCATTGTGTGTGTCTTTTGAAAGTCTTCCTTCCTTCCTTCCTTCCCTCCCTCCCTTCTTCCTTCCTTCCTCCCTTCCTCCCTCCCTCTTCCCTCCCTCCTTTCTCCCTCCCTCCCTCCCTCCCTCCTTCCTTCCTTCCTCCCTCTTTTCCCTCCCTCCCTTCCTTCCTTCCTCCCTCCCTCCCTCCCTCCTCCCTCCCTCTCTCCCTCCCTCCCTTCCTTCCTTCCTTCTGTCTTTCTTTTTTTGAGACAGGGTTTCATGTAACATAAGTTGGCCATGTACTAGATAAGTAACTGATAATGATCTTGAACTTCCTAATCCCCCTGCCTCCAAGTGTTAGGGATCTAACTCAGGACTTGGTTCAAGCTAGGCTACAACTCTACCAACTGAGCTACATCCTCAGCTCCTGAAGAGTGGGGTTTAGATGAGTATTCCAGGCTGGCCTTGAACTCAGTAAGTATCAAAGGTTGGCCTCAAACTCAGAGAAATCCTATCTCAGTCTCCCAAGTGCTGAGATTATAGACGTGTGACACTGTGTCCTGTTGTCTCTGTTTTCTTTTATAATGAAGGGTGTTGCTTCCCTGTACCATTCTCTTGCTCTCATGAAGCTAAAACAAATCCGTTCACCCTAAGTTGCTGATGTCAGATACCTTGTCACAGTGATGGAAAGTCTGGCAACCATAAGACCCCATGGGTCTTAATCAGCTCTCCATTTTGTCACTATGGGGACATGGACTCTTGGGCACAGACCATATCTAAACCACAACAGTGTCTTCAATGTTTATCTCTCAGCCCTGGGAAGGCTAAGAGCAGGATGCTGGCAGATACCGTGTCCTGTGAGGTTCTACTTCCTGGCTCATGAGTGATAGTTTTCTGTCTGTGTTCTCCTTTGATGGATGGATGGAAAAAGTAGGCTTTCTAGAAACTCTCTCTCTGTTTTTTTGAGACAGGGTTTCTCTGTGGCTTTGGAGTTTGTCCTGGAACTAGCTCTTGTAGTCTAGGCTGGCCTCAAACTCTCAGAGATCCGCCTGCCTCTGCCTCCCGCGTGCTGGGATTAAAGGTGTGTGCCACCACTGCCTGGCTTCTAGAAACTCTTATAAGAACCTTCACTCCATTTGTGCAGGCTTGACCCTCCTGTATGTCTAATCCTAGTTTCCTCCCGAAGATGATCACATTAGGGGAAAGAGTTCTGGTAAATGAGTTTTCAATTACACAGTTATTCATGTTATTCAATCCAAATCAAGACCAAATTGATCCTCACCACCTCCACTCAACCACTCCAGGTAAAACGATTTATTCCTCTCTTGGGCTCCCTTATGCCTCCTCATAATGCACTTTCCTTAACTGTAGCAGGTGACACGCCTGCCCTTTTGCACTCACGGCTCAGTATTTCCTTCTGACTCTTCTGGTTTAGAACAGAGATGGCAAAGCTGGAGTGATCAGGTCCAGCAGTTTGTGGTTTAGCGAATCCTGACTTCCAGTCTTGGCTCTGCTACTACTAGCCACAGAAGCCAATCAGTTTGTCCTTCAGAATCCCAGAGAATGGGGATGCCATCCAAGGGGAAAATGTATAAAGTGCATGTTTCAGAGTCTGACACATGATAAAACATCAAAAGGGGTGTTCTTGTCATTGTTATTGATATGATGCTTAGAAATGTGACAGGTCATCTATGAATGATAGCTATGGTGCTATTGTTTCTGTTGGTTATTTTAAAAATGCCCTTTCCCCACCTTGGGTTTTCCTTTCTTTCTTTGCTTCTTTCTTTCTTTCAAATATGGAACGCTTCACGGATTTGCGTGTCATCCTTGCGTAGGGGCCATGCTAATCTTCTCCTAATCTTCTCCGTATCGTTCCATTTTTAGTATATGTGTTGCCGAAGGGAGCACCCACCTTGGGTTTTCGAGGCAGGGTTTCTCTGTGGCTTTGGAGCCTGTCCTGGCACTCGCTCTGTAGACCAGGCTGGCCTCAGACTCACAGAGATCCGCCTGCTTCTGCCTCTCAAGTGCTGGGATCAAAGGCATGCACGACTAAAAAAATGCTTTTTAACAGAGCACCTGGGTAGTGCTGAGCACGTAACCATCAAAGGCTATCATAAAAAGAAAGGATGGTGTAACCATGACAGTGTTGGCTGAGCTTACCACTGGCACACACAGGCAAGGGACATAACTGGTCTAATAAATACTGGCGATAAATAACTAGATGAGTTAGCTGGCCAAGGACCTGCCCCCTCCATCCAAGCCTTCTCCTTGGCAGGGTGCCGGGAAGGCCACGTGGACCTTGTTCTCCTGGTGGATGGCTCGAAGAGTGTACGTCCACAGAACTTCGAGCTGGTGAAGCGCTTCGTGAACCAGATCGTGGACTTCCTGGATGTGTCCCCCGAGGGCACACGCATCGGGCTGGTGCAGTTCTCCAGCCGGGTGCGCACCGAGTTCCCTCTGGGCCGCTATGGCACAGCAGCAGAGGTGAAGCAGGCAGTCTTGGCTGTGGAGTACATGGAGCGGGGCACCATGACGGGGCTGGCACTGCGCCACATGGTGGAGCACAGCTTCTCAGAGGCACAGGGTGCGCGGCCTCGGGACCTCAATGTGCCTCGTGTGGGCTTGGTGTTCACTGATGGCCGCTCTCAGGATGACATTTCGGTGTGGGCGGCTCGCGCCAAAGAGGAAGGTAGGTTTGGCAAGGGAAGGACATGGGTGGGGCTGGAGTGGAGGCTGGGGAGCAGTTTTCTCGAGGCTTGGAGCTCTCTCTTGAGTACCTGGGCCCTCCCTATAGGCATCGTCATGTATGCCGTGGGCGTGGGCAAGGCCGTGGAGGAAGAGCTGCGCGAGATCGCATCCGAACCATCGGAGCTGCATGTGTCCTACTCTCCGGACTTTAGCACCATGACTCACCTACTGGAGAATCTCAAAGGCAGCATTTGCCCAGGTGAGCGCATCTCTCCCGGGCCTTCTGTTCTTTTGTTGCCTTGCCTGCCAAAGATGCCTGGTCCTCAGCTCTTCACACATCCTTCAGCAGTTACAGCTCTCTACACAGAGCCTGTGATTTGAAGCCCGGACCAGCGCAGGCCTGTCTCCTTACTGTAGCTTGTCAGAAATGCAGACCCTAGACAATGAATCAGACCCAGTGCTTTGGGTGCTCATCAGAGTTAGGGAGGCACTGGATTTTGTCGTTCAAATGAGTAGTGTTTGGAGTAATTTGAGAAAACGTCATTTTATTTATTTAATTGCATTTTTACGTGCATCTTTTGCCTGCCTGCATGTCTGCGTACCACATATGGGCTTGGTGCTTGTGGAAGCCAGAAGTAGGGTCAGACCCCCTGGCTACACATGGCTGTGAGACACCATGTGGGTGTTGGGCATTGAACTCAGGTCCTCTGGAAGAGCAGCCAGCATTCTTAACCACTGAGCCATCTCTCCAGCCCCAGAGAAAAAAAATTAAGAAACAAGCCAAGTTTAGCATATGTTAGCTATATGTAACTATAGCCTTCCAACTTGTTGGAATTCAACTTTATGGACTTGGCGAAGTGACAGGACTGGGCTCTGATACAGTGGCTTATGCTTTCTGGGGGACAAAGACCATAAATGCAATTGTTCCAATGCATCTGATCTTCAGCTGGGGGAAACGGACCCAGATGTGCCCATGGGGGCAACTGGACCTTATAGGGGACAGAGTTTCTTTGGGGGGCTTGATTTTGACCACAGGGTCTTTAGATTCTCACACAGGCCTAAGATGGGATTCTCCTTCCAGCGTGGTATGCACCGCCTGTGGAGATAGCTCAGCAGGACTGCGCCCCAAGCAGAGATTTTAGTTGAATGTGTTCAACTCCCGACTTTAATGATGAACTGAGGTATTTTGGAAGCACTGGACTTTAGGGCCCTTCCTGTCCTGACTCTGTCATCTACAGTGAACTCTGGATAAGTCCCTCCTCACCCCCTTCCCTCTTCTATAGGAGGGAGGATGCTCAGGTGACCACCAACTTTAGATTGAGGCAGGTTGGGGCTCCCTTCATCAGCTGGCTGTACCACAGTCTAGGCTGATCCTCTTCCTTCTGTGACCCTCTGTTTCTACAATTCTAAAGTCAGAGCTGATCCTTTGGGGAGTGTTATTGGAGCCATCAAGTAATATTAGACAAGTAGTTTGCCAAGTATGGGAGTTTGTTTGACTCATAACGGTAACTTTGTATGGAAGCAGAGTGCCAAGAATTGTGCCGACAACCTCTAATACTAAAAACGGAGGCTGGTGAGATAGCACAGCAGGTAAAAGCAGTCTCCATGCAAGCCTGATGACCTGAGTTCGGTCCTGGAACACATTCACAAAAAGCCAGATGTGATGGTTCATATCTGTACCCAGCACCCCTATAGGAAGATGGGTGGGGAATCTCTGGTAAAGTACATCATGATTTTATGTAGTGTTAAGAAAACACAGGCCCACATTTTTGTTTGTTTTTCGAGACAGGTTTTCTCTGTGTAGTTTTGGAGCCTGTCCTGGAACTAGCTCTGTAGACCAGGCTGGCCTGGAATTCACAGAGATCTGCCTGCCTCTGCCTCCCGAGTGCTGGGATTAAAGGCATGCACCACCAATGCCCGGCAGGCAAGCACATTTTTAACTGTACTCTACTCTCAGATGTAGAAATACATGTGGAGATGAACTTGGATCCATAGTTTAAACAATAAAACAGTATTTTCTTCAGAATCAATGGAATCACATATCGTTGGGCTTCACTCTGACTCAGTAGGCCCGGGATAGGGTTGGATAATTTATCTTTATGACATATTTCTAGACTATGCTTATCTGCTTGTCCACAGACCACAGTTTGAGGAATGTTGGTTTACTTAAAATACACAGTGCAGGGTTGCCTTGTGCCTGACATTGTTTTTAGATATTGTGTCAATGTGGTATTCAGTTGCTACGCGTGTATAATGAATCACAACTGATTGCAATAAAACAAAATAAAAACTGACTTCTTCAGTTGGGCCAGCCACATTTCAAGCACTAAATAGCTCCAGGTGGCTTGTGGCTAACTAAATCGGGTGCGACAGATATAGAACACTTCCGTTGTTAGATATGTCTCATTTGGAGAGTGTTTGTCACTCTGGATTCTTTCTGACCAAAGTGAAATTAATTGACTTCACTATCAACATGTTTTAGGAGCTTATTAAAACAAACAAACAAACAGATCCTTGTTCTGAATCAGAATCTTGACTCTAGCAAGCTCTGTGGTTATCCCAGCATGCATCAGGGTTTCAGAATTTCTCCTGCAAGTGTGCACACAGACACAAATCGTCTACTTCTCACAACCCAAATGGATAGCTTCCTTCACTATATCCATTCTAAATATACAGGAATTGAGGCTTAGAGGGGCTGAGTTTTCCCTAGGACTTCTGGGCTCCTTGGCTGGGACTCAAGCCAGGTCTAAAGCCAAAGCCTGTACATACTCAACCATCAACTCGGTAGAGGTGTATAAGAAGGTTCAGCCCAAAGTCCAATAGGCTTCCTTTGGCTCCTCATTCCCTTGACTCTTGGTGTTCTGCTTGCAGAAGAGGGCATCAGCGCTGGGACAGAGCTTCGGAGTCCCTGCGAATGCGAAAGCCTCGTGGATTTCCAGGGACGCACGCTGGGGGCGCTTGAGAGCCTGACACAGAACCATATCCTTTGGGGATGGAGGCGCGGTATTCAGGGCAGGTGAAAGAATCTCTGAGTTCAAATCTTCTTTAACAGCTCACTGGCCCAGCTGACAGAGCGCCTGGAGGAGCTGGAGAACCAGCTGGCCAGCCGGAAGTGAAGGTCGCATGCGGTCTGAGCACCTGTGCCCCTTGGCATGGACCGTCCAGGAGGGGGCGCTGGCGGGTCCCAAGCGCTGCCTTCGAGCTGGTCTCGCCTGGACCAGAAGCCAGATTTGGGGGGCGAGGGGATTGGGAGGTGCTGGTGGGGAAGAACACGTCACACGCCCAGGCTGCGTGCTGCGCCCAGTTCTTAGTTGGATTTCTTTATGTTTTCTTAAAAAAAAAAAAAAAAAAAAACCTACACCGGTTTCCACTGGGTTGGTTTGTGGCTATTGCTGTGCCGCCAGGGGGAGGGGAGTTCAGACGATGTGCGCTCACAGGCGCCCGGGAGGCGTCCTTTCGGAGAAAGGCGCATTGTGCAGCACTGGGGCTGGGGGCAGGAGGCTGGCCGTTGCTTCCCGTTCCTTGTTTATTCAGCCCAGAACAGATGGTCCGTTATGCAGGACGTGGGGAAGGTGGGGGTGCCCCGAGAACCCTTGGGTCTGAGCAAGTCTGAAACCCCCACCCTCCAGCACTTAGTTCTCTTGCTGTTCCTGTCTCCTGGTGCCAAAAATGTGGCCCAAAGGCCGCCTGGGACCTGGCTGGGGGAGGTGGTGAGGTGGGAAGCCTCGGTTCAGCCCCTCAACAGTCAGAGTGAGGGACTACAGATGTGCTTTACCTGCATTGTATCTGCCTCTGGCACTCAGTGGCACGCCTGAGCCTTTGGCTTTCCTTCTGCCATTTCCCCAAGAAACAAAGCAAAGCAACACAAAACCCTCTACCGCCATGGAACACAAACCTCCCAGGTACACGCGGGAAACTAAAATGCTTTCAGTTTCAGGTAAATTCCTCTGGGTTTGTTTTGCCATCGTTAAAGCTGAAATAGAAACTGTTACCCCCAAAGGGGTTGCCGTGGTTAGAATTTATCCTAAAGCACCTGCCATTGTACCCAACACCTATTTCAGAATCTTAGTTAATGGTAGTTGCAACTATTCTTATTGTAATAGGTAACATGTTCAGTCTTGGACATGGTTTTAAGCGATTTCCAAGAATTGCCGTTGTTTCCTCTTTTATCCAGACAACTTCGTGAGACGATTAATATCTTAGATGGCAAGGTGGCTTAGCTGGCAAGCACATTTACCTATCAGGCCTTACAACCTAAGTTCAATTCTCAGAACCCACATGGTGAAGGGAGCTAACCAATTTTCACAGGCTGTCCTCTGACCTCCACATCCCCAATAAATAAATACATGTAAAAATAAATCTTAAAAATAATTATTGCCTGCATCATTCCCATTTTTACACATGAAGTAATGGGAGGCATGCAGTTTCCTAGAGTCACATACATAGTGAAGAGGCTGAACTGGCATGTTACCGGTTTCCTACTGCTGCTATAACAAACTGAGGTTTTTGAAAGCAAGAGTTCTGGAAATCAGAAGTCCAGGGAAGGTTGGCAGGTGTGCATTCCTTCTGGAGAGGTCTGCTTTCTTTTGTAGCTTCTAGAGACCTCCCACATTCCCTGGCTCATGGTCTCACATCCCTCTGATCTTGACATTCCTGTCTGTGTGTGATTATGTGCTGCAACTTTGACAATTGCAGATACGCGCCTACTTCAAAATATCTGCAACAGTCTCCTTTGTCGTGTAGTGTCATAGATTTATTCGCAGGTTTCCAGGATTCATGTGTGGAAGCTGTTGAGGGGAACACGATTCTGCTACCAGATGGGGCTGAAGCCAGGCAGACCGATTTCAGTGCTGGTGATCTTTGTACTGGTGCTAAGCTGGGTGGAGAGAGAGACTGCTTTACTGAGAAAAGCCATTGAGCTGGAGGAGCAGAGCCCACTTGTGTGTAATTACAGAATGAAAGGATGCTGAGGTTTCCCAGCTACCAGTCTTGGGGTCCATTAGCTCCCCCTTGTTCAGGTCAGCTATCTCTGTAGCCAGCACTGGACCGACTCAGACCCCCTGAACAGTGTTCTCAGTTAGAAGACCTAGTCAGTGGACTCTGACAGTGGAACCAGGATGTATCTATCCCTGGTGCACAAAAGGACTTTGGGAGCACATTCCCCATGGAGGGATACTCCCTTAACCTAGAGGCAGGAGGGAGGGCCTGGTCCCTACTCCAAATGACTTGATGATTTTGTTGATCCTTCCTGGAAGGCATCACCCTCCCTGTGGAGTGTGTGTGTGTGTGTGTGTGTGTGTGTGTGTGTGTGTGTGTATGGGATGGGAGGGTGGTGGTGGGGGCATGGGATGGGAGGGAGAGAGAATTGGGATTGATATGTAAAGTAAAAACAAAACAAAAAACAAAACCAAAACAAACAAACAAAAACGAAAGGATGCTGTGGAGGGCAGGAAGGGAGGGTGGAGGGGAGCTTTGAGTCAAACCTTAAACCACATGACTGTATTTTCTGTGATTGGCCATGTGGGTCAGGAGTGTCTGGGCACAGGGATCTGTGCCTTGCTTAGATAGCATGATCAGATAAACTAAGTATGCTGTGGATAGCACCTGGCTTGAGATCTCACCTTGCTTAATCCCTTAAGTTTAAAGTTAAGAAAGTGAGTCCTAGAAGACGCAGGGTCTTGTCTAGGAGCACACAGAAAGAAAACAGCAGGGCCAGACAATATACTTGCAGGGTTGTGGGACTGGAATAGGGCACTTCCTGATGGGGGTATGTGAGGAAAGGCGGAAGATAGATCTTCCCTCTTTTCTGGATGCAGCTCTCCCCATCTCTTCCTGTCTCATCTGCTCTTTACTTCTGCAATCTCCCTTGTGGCCACAGGATGGCGCCTGAAGATCTGCTTTAGAGTTTAACTCAGCCCCAGTAGGAGGCCCCAGGCATCTGGTACCTAGGCTGATGATGACCTTTAATAGGAAAGGGTTTTAGAATAGCAGCGAGGTCTGTGGCCAGTGAGGAAGTCGCAGTTGACTCTAAGATGGAAACGGCCTTCATGCTTGGTCCGTTTCCCCCTAACCTTTCTCAGTGTGGGTCTTTATCATTTCACTTTGGAATGGGAGGCACCATCTATTCATCTGTTAACTTGTGGGGCTGACAGCATGTGTTTCACTTTCCTAGGAGCATTTAAGGTTTAAGAGGAGTCAGCTGGGCTGTGATGACACATGCCTTTAATACCACGCTTGGGAGGCAGAGACAGGAGGATCTCGGTGAGTTCAAGGCTTGTCTGGTCTACAGAGCAAGTTCCAGGACAGTAAGGGCTACACAAGAAACCCTATCTCAAACAAAACAAAACAAAAGTTTAAGAGGAGATAAGGGGGAAGAGAGCAGTGTTTGATCCAAATAGAATAAATGGAAGGGTTTCAGACAGCCAAGGACACACGAGTGTCATAGGCCTGTCTTATCTTCAGGGACTGGATCCCTAACAGGATCTCATGCGATTCTCAAGGCAATACTTATGAGGTTGGCATCTTCACTTTCACTGTCAGAGGAAGCAGCTGAGGTAGAAGACAGGTGTCCCAAATCATTCACTCTTGATGCCTAGGGCTCTCCCTACTTTGTCAGAGTGGTTGGAAATGGGGGTAGTCAGAACTGGGGTCAAAGTGAGGGGGTCTTGACTCAATTCTAGGTGTCAAAAGGCTGACTATCTTAGAGGAGAGAAAGGAGTTGGGAATGGAAGGGCTTGAGTGCTGGAACCCCCTGTTCTTTGAAGCCACGTTCCAGAAGGGCAGGAGGAGAGAGGGGGTGGAGGACATTTGGCGTGTGAGTCAAGGTATAGCCGTGATGATGATAATGGCAGTAATAGTCCCAGTGACTGGAGTTTTATGGTGATTCACAGGGAAGTTTCCCATCAATCGCAACTCAGCAGAGCCACATGCCACCCTAGGGCCACATGCCACCCCAGGGAAGGACAGGGCAGTGTGCTCGCTGCTGTTTTACTGAAGGAAAAAGGCTGCAGAGTGGAGTGTGCCTTGCTCAAGTTTATGTCAGATTACTGCCAGTGCTGGGCTAGCCAGAGGCCTCCTGGCTCCCAGCCACACATGGGCTCCAGCTGTGGCCAGCCGGAGAGAATGGGGTCTTTGTCAGAGTGGATGCTCAGGCACATGCTTTCTGTAGCCTTGGATGGAGGCCTAAGGAGATGGTTTTGACAGGGTGCTGGGGGTATGGAGGGGCAAAAGGATCTAGTTAGAGTAAGGGACTGATCCTCAAATGACCTATGTGTCCTTCAGGCTTCCTTCATACCTCATGCTAGCTGACCCTGCCCCAATGTCTGATTCCATGACTTTGGCCTGGACTATGTTCCTTCCCTTTGTATTCCTTTCTTCCTCCCTCCCTCTCTCAACAAAGACCTTCACTCATGCCTTCCTTTCTAACTTGACTCAAACTTTGCAGTCACTCTGCTCAGAGAAATGAGGCTTCCTTGTGAGTAACGTCCACTGAGCTCTTACTGTGTGCGAGGGTCTGTGTGGGCATTTTTTACCTCTGTTGTCTCCATGTGTACCACATGTCATGCTTTGGTGATAGATTTTATTTTCTCTGTTACCTTCCTATTCCATGTTCAAAAACAATTTGTGATTCAGGGTTGAAATTTCTTTCTACATTTCATTAGTGTGCTGTGACTTTCAGGGAAAGACATAGGGGTGTCTGTCGCTGTACTTTTGCCATCTTTAACCACTAATTCTCATATTTAAAAAGTTAATAAAATCCTACTATCTACAACATACTTGTGTTGTAGTTGAAGAGCCTGCATCTGGGCTTTGTATGTCAGTGCCAAGCAAAACAGAGCCCTACTGTATACCATTCATCATGGTTATGCATTATCTCAAATGTGGGAAATACATGGTGAATGAAAGAGCAGAAAGGGAATGACGCGTAGTAAATAAATGGCACTCTTTAAATACATGAGGGGAATTGGATGCCAAGACTGATGAATAAAAACTGATCAAGACCCCAGTTACATTCTCCAACAGCAGCAGTTCACATCCCTTCTTCTCCAGAAAATGTCACATTTATCCTAAAGTTCCCAGATGTCTCCTGGAGGAGAACAGAGGGGTCATGGTTCATTGATCTCTCTGACTTCTCTGATGTTTTATATATCCATTGCACTCTCTTACACTCTGCAATCTAGAAAGCGAGAGGCCTCCAGACCACAGAAATAAAACCCATAAAATTAACAAAAAACACTAGCTGCATTTCTACAGTCCAATGACACATAATACTATTCCA